AGCTCCGCTGCCAATGCAACGCGCACGTTGGCGCAGCGTATTTAAGTGAATCTTTTGCTCCGAGGCCATTCCGCTCACAGTCAGTAGGTATGTCTGCGTAGCAGCAAAAGGGTCCCCCCCTGTCAGAGCCAAAGGATTATGAGGCGTGAGGGGTCGGGGCAAGCAGCAGCAGCAGCAACAGCAGCAGGGACCAGACAACATACCGAACATCGAAATGACTATTGCGCCTGGAGGGGTCTGGGTCTCTCCTCCCCCCTCTCCGGCGCCGCGGCCCCCCAAAAGAGGAGGGGGAGGGCGGCGGCGGCGGATCGCTGGCCTCGCCGCTGAGGTAATCGACCACGACCGCCACGTCGAGGGGCGCGCCGGCAGGCCTGGCCCGGGGGCGGGAGTCGTCGTCGTCGGGCAAGGGCTTGGAGTGAAGCCGCGCTTCGTGGCCAAGGGAGGAGGGAGGGGGCGGAGTAGGAGGAGGAGGAGGAGGAGGAGGAGGAGGAGGAGGAGGAGGAGGAGGAGGAGGAGGAGGAAGGAGGAGGAGGAGGAGGAGGAGGAGGAGGAGGAGGAGGAGGAGAGGAGGAGGAGGAGGAGGAGGAGGAGGAGAGGAGGAGGAAAGAGGAGGAATGAGGGGTGGAGGAGGGGGGTGGAGGAGGGAGAGAAGAGGAGGGAGAAGGAAGGAGGAGGAGGGAGGAGGAAGTAGAAGGGAGGAGGAGGGAGGATGAGAGAGCAGTCCAGTCCTGTCCATTTCGCTTAAAGTTCTAGCGATCCGAACACGACGTTGCTCTAGACGTCTGAGCGTCGCCTGGTGAAGAGGGAGGAGGAAGTGGAAGAGGAGGAGGAGGAGGAGGACGAGGAGGAGGAGGAGGAGGGAGGATTCGGAGGGTGCGATACGATACGGACACCGTTGACGCCATGCTATCCGATTGTCCAGGTCGTGCGTGCTGTGATCGCTGACTTCAAGATCGCGCAGCAGTGGTCCCCGCATGTGCAAGACTGGCCGAAGACTGTTGACGCGGAAATCCCAATTTTTTTGGAGAAGGTTGCGCATGCCATGTCCTGTGTCCCAGGACGGAGGACGTGGCCACGCACAGTTCCGTTCTGGCCACTCTAGCCACCGACGCATGAGGTAGAATAGAGGAATAAAAAAACGGCATAAGCATCATTTTTTGGAGGTCCACGCGGATTCTTGGATCTGCGCTGGACCCCCTCCCCGGCGCGCGGAGCGCGCCGGGGGCGGCGCCTGAGTCGCCGCCTGGGGGGCCCAAGCGCGCCCTGGACGCGCGCACCGTCACGAACCGTCACGAACCATATCATCGCTGTTTCGGGTGCGTGGAGGTGGTTCTGTGGGTTCTCGTCGCCACAGCTGGACGCGAGCTCGAGAAGCTGCGCTATAGGCGGAGCCTGGGAGGGGGGTTTGGGGACCGACTCTCTGATCAGAGCTGAGCGGAGGGCCGCCAGCATGCACCGCGAAGACGAGGGGAGGGTCCTGAGGGCAAGGGGGGTCCAAAGGCAGGACAACGATGAGGATCAGTCGGCGCCAAAAGATGACCTCAATGTCTTCTGTTTCTATCGAAAGAGAACACACTGCAGAAACATAAAGTTCTGCCCGAGATCCAGCCACTCCTTCCACCGGAGAGATCCACGAATGAGAACTCGGTGATGTGGGTGGGCCTGTCCCAGTTGAGCGCCACTCAGCGCCCTGGGGTGTACCCAAGACGTCCACTGAGCCACGGGGATCGTTCGTGACGGTTCGTGACCGTGCGCGCGTGCGAGCGGCGCGCCGAGCGGCGCGCGGCCGCCGCGCCGAAGCCCCGACCCGCGGCCCCGTGCCCCGACGCCGGAGCCCCAAGGCACGGCACCGCGGAGCGGGCCAGCTCTCACCGGAAGCGGCGAGGATGGCGGCGGCGCCAGCGGCGACGGCCCGGCGGCCCGCCCAGGGGCCGGCGCGAGGGGGGGGCAGCCTCCCGAGATGGCAGGGCGCTGCTGAGAAGGCGGAGGAGGAGGAGAAGGAGGAGGCCGAGGAGGAGGAGGAGGAGGAGGAGGAGGAGGAGGAGGAGGAGGAGGAGGAGGAGGGGGAGAAGGAGGGCAAGCTAGGTGCGCTCGCGTCATATCTGACGTCCTACCCCTCCCTCCCATCCCTTCCCATGGCGTAGATCTCCTCTCTACCCGGCGAGCCGGGGTCACGTCGAGGGGCGTCGGGGCACGGCTCCTGAGGTGCCTTCTCAGAAGTCCCTGCCCTTCTGGGGGAGAACGTGTTTCGTGAACGCTTGCCTGGAAGGACACATTCACACATTGGGATACCGCCCTCCCCCCCGCCCCCCAAAACATTGAGCGCTCCTGGAAAACCGGGGGGGAGGGGTTCGAACCGGGTCGGGCCCCAACCCCCGCCGTCCTGTCCCAGGGGGGGGGGTTCGAATTGCCCCCCCCTGGAGTTGCAAGGGGGGTTCGAACCAGTGGGGCCTCCCCTCGCTGTCCAGGAGGGGTTCGAACCGAGGGGGGGGGCGCCCCCTCTGAGTTGCAAGGGGGGGGCAAGGTTCGAACCGGCCCTCCCCTACCACGCGGGGGGGGACGGACCCCCCCCTCTCCCTAATAGAGCCGTGCTGGCGCTGGATCCAACACGAATCTCATCCTGCCGACGCTAGATACAAGATTACTGGCAGGCAGCCGGGCTCGACCCGACTCTGATGGAATCCTCCTCTATGTCGGGCGGGTCACGTTCGGCGGGCCATTGCATGCACGGTGCTCGCTCGCTCGGGCCCTCGCTCGCTCCATCGAGGGCGCGAGCGAACGACCAGGTCGGGCGGTCGGGGTCGGGCGGGCGTGCCGTGAAGTGCACGGTGCTCGCTTGCTCGCTCGCTGGAGCAAGCACGCGAGCGAGCGAGCGAGGGATTGGTGCGCGGCATGAGGGCGGCGCGGGGGAGCCAAACCCGAGCGCGCAAGCCGCTTATAGCGCAGCGCGTTCGGCGATTGGGGGACCAATCTGGGCCCGCACCAAAGGTCACTCCGGCGAAAGGTCACTCTTACGTCTAGCCGAAGAGAGAGAGAGAGAGAGAGAGAGAGAGAGAGAGAGAAAAAAGAGAGAGAGAGAGAGAGAGCCTGGGGCGGAGAGGCACGAGCTGGAGCCCATTCGGTTATTCGGGCCGGTCACGGGCGTGATACGGGGGGGGAACGCCACGCCGGTCATGTCACGGCGGGGGTGCGCCTGGGGGGCCGCAACATGCCCGTAAACACCGCAGTACGCCTGCGAAAAACAATCGCCTGCGACCCGACAGTCACGACGTGACTGTGGCCAGCGCCAGAATAGCTTGCTATCCGATCAACGCGACGTGCCTGTGAACACCAAAGTTTTTTTGAAGAGCACAGCGTCCGTGGACACCACAACGCCTGTGAACACCAAACCGCCTGTGATCACACCGCCTGCGAACACCACAACACCTGTGAATACCACATCGCCTGTGCACGCTACACAGCCGGAACACACCACAGCGCTTGTGAACACCACATCGCCTGTGAACACAGCCCGCGCGAGCACCGCAGAACCTTGGGCCTAGCGGCAGTGCGCAAGCACTTGCAGTAGCAGTAGTAGTAACAATCGTCGTCGTAGTAGTGGTAGCAGCAGCGGCAGCAGCAGCATCAACAGTAGTAGTAGTAGCAATAGTAGTAGTAGTAGTAGTAGTAGTAGTAGTAGTAGTAGTAGTAGTAGTAGTAATAGTAGACGTAGAAGTAGAAGTATAAGTAGTAGTAGTAGAAGTACTCGTAGTATTAGTAATGGCAGTAGAAGAAGAATAATACTAAGTAGTAGTAGTAGTAGTAGTGGTAGTAGTAGTAGTAGTAGTAGTGGTGATCGTAGTGATAGTAGTAGTAGAAGTAGTAGTAACAGCAGTAGTGGTAGTAGTAGTACTAGTGGTAGTCGTAGTAGTAGTCGTAGTAGTAGTAGTAGTAGTAGTAGTAGTAGCAGTGGCCGTAGTAGTAGTAGTAGTAGTAGTAGTAGTAGTAGTAGTAGTAGTAGTAGTCGTAGTAGTAGTAGTAGTAGTAGTAGTAGTAGTAGTAGTAGTAGTAGTAGTAGTAGTAGTAGTAGTAGTAGTCGTGGTAGTAGCAGCAGTAGTAGTGAAAGTAGTAGGAGGAGGAGGGGGAGGAGAATGAGGAACAGCAAACGAGGGAGGGAGGGAGTCGTCGTCGTGCTCCTCCTCCTCCTCCCCTCCTCCTCCTCGTCCTCCTCCTCCTCGTCCTCCTCTTTTCTTGCCTTGGACACGGCCCCGCCTGCATTTGAGCCCGCACTGCCTGCGCACGCCACAGCGAAAATGAACACCGCAACGTTCACGTATTACACAACGCCCGTGTGCGCATTCAATGCCCGTATACACCACAGCGCTGGCAGCTACGAGCGCCACGCTCCGACCGCCGCGCCAATGCCTCTCATAAACGAAACAACACTGCGCCCTGAGAGCACCACGCGGCACGCACGCAAGCCCCGCTTTGCCTCGCGAGTGCCAGTGTCCCTGTGAGCACAACAACATGCCTCTGAACACCACAGTAGCCTGCGATCGCCACAGGGCGTCCGCGGTCGCCAACGGACGATTGCCACAACGTGACCAGTGGGGGTGCCGGTCACGCCCGTGATCGCCCGGGGATTTTCCGAATGGGCTCCTGGGGAGGGCCGCCCAGGCCAATCCTACCCGAGAGGTAGTCACGGACCGCATCCGATAACACGGTGGCCCGAAACACAACCTGCCCCTTCTTTGTAGAATGGCGGCCTTCCAACCTCCAAGCCAACTGCCTCGCGCGACCAGCCGAGCGGTGCCCCAAACAGTCTGACGCGAGAGCCCACTTGCTACCGTGGCCCCCCAGCAGCACAAACCGACCCACAAGGGGTGCAACGCGCAAGGCCGCATGGGGCCTGCCCCGTAGACTTCGAGGTGCCACCCTCTAGGATTGGGTCGGGCATGTCCCCCTACGGGCGGATTTTGGGCGAAAAATTAAAAACCACTCAGAACATACCCCCCAAATACCCCCAACTAGTCACAAAATCGTCCCCCCACTATGTTTTGACTATCTTTAGACACTTCTCCTGTAGAGGGACAGGCCCGACTTAACTCCACGATCGCAATATCCTGACCGTACATGGACATTATATTCGAACCCTGTGGCCCAGGATGCCCCCCAGACCACCCGAAATTAATTCTGATGGCTTGGCGACGGGGGGGGCTTGAGTGGACAGACGTATTCGAAACCCAAAGCACCGCCTTTACTGAGATCAACATGATGTCGGGGGCGCGGGGGTGATTTAGGATCTCCCTCGAACGTGCCAGGGTTTGTATCTATTGTCCATCTACTGTTATGCTGCTCCCATCGTGCTCAGGGGCCACATCCCAGAAATCGTCTCGAGCGCCTGGAGAAGTGTCGGAAGAGTGTCGAAGCAGTGTCGGACGAGTGTCTCCCAAAGCCCGACGCGTGAACACCCTCGAGTTTTAGGGTACCCGTTTGGTGCTCGAAATTCTCTCCGGTGGTTAAGAGTGAAGTGCTTGTTTGGTGCTCGAAATTCTTTCCGGTGGTCAAGGCTAGAAAGTGCATCCTAAATCTGCTGGAGCGGGCCAGGCGTGGACATCGGGTACTCAGCTCTGGCCCTACCCTCGGCGAGGGGGGCCGGCTCCAGGGACCTTCCCAGATCCCGTCCCGCCCCCCCCCCCGCTCCCGCCCAGAGGAGGAGGAGGAGGAGGAGGAGGAGGAGGAGGAGGAGGAGGAGAGGAGGAGAGGGGAGCATGAGGAGGAGGAAGAGGAGGAGGAAGAGGAGGAGGAGGAGGAGGAGGAGGAGGAGGAGGAGGAGGAGGAGTGAGGAGTGAGAAAGGGAAAAAGCACCCCCTCAACCTGACACAACCATCAACAGCCAAACTGCCCGCCTCAGGAGCCCTACCTGGCTGAATCCCTTTCTTGGCGTATTCATCGGCGGGGGGGAGGGGGACGGAGAGGGGGAGGGGGAGAGGGAGGGATGGGGGAGACGAGCGTACAAGAAGGATCCTCCACGCCTGCCGACCCGCTCCTCGGCCGCGCCTCGACGCACTTGAGGACGTCGGGCGGCGGGCGGGGAGGATGAGGAGGCTGGGGAGGATGAGGAGGCTCCCGCAACAGACTCTGCGGCCGCCGCGGCCCCAGCGGCATCCGGCCGCGGCAGCCTCCTGGAGACCCGCAGCAGCCGCTCGGCGAAGGCCGGGTCGCGGACGCTGCCGCCTCCGCCGCGGCAAGCCCAGTCGGCAGGAGGGGTCGGCGGCGCGCCGTGGGGGGAAGCTTTGGGAACGTCAGGTTCGAGGCTGGACGCTTGCGGGGTGAAGGGTCGTCGGCTCTCGCCGGAGTGCCAGCCAGCCTCGGAATGCACTGAGGCGGCTGCGCCTCGCCGAGGGCGCCCTGGGGGCGCCTGGGTGGCCCCCGAGCTGCCAGAGACCCGAGCGAGGATCTTTGAGGTGGCAAGCCTTCGCAGGAGGCGCCGGGGCTTCTCAGAAGCCCTCCGGCCGGCCTTCTGCTGAGCCCCCTGTGGCTTCGGAGGAGGCTCAGGAAGCTTCTCAGCATGACGGAGGCCTCCTGGGCCTTTTGAGGAGGCTCGCCCCCCTCTGCCTCCCCCTCTGGGCGCGCCGCCATAAGGAGGAGGAGCAGGAGGACGAGGAGGAGGAGGAGGAGGAGGAGGAGGAGGAGGAGGAGGAGGAGGAGGAGGAGGAGGAGGAGGAGGCGAGGGAGGAGGAGGAGGGAGGAGGGGAGGAGGAGAGAAAGATAAGGAGGAGGGGGAGGAGGAGGAGGGGGGAGGAGGAGGAGGAGGGAAGGAGGAGGAGGAGGAGAGGAGGAGGAGGAGGGGAGGAGGAGGGGAGGAGGAGGAGGAGAGGAGGAGGAGGAGGAGGAGGAGGAGGGGGAGAAGGAGGAGAAGGAGGAGGAGTGGGGAGGAGGGGGGAGGAGGAGGGGGGAGAGTGGGAACGCCACGCTCTCCATAGCAAAGCCATCGACACTCAAACAACGCCCGCGGCGCCCTGGAGGCAAGCAGGGCGCTTCTCGGCCCGGGCCTCCGCCGTGATTCGCTCGCGCTCGTGCCGCTCCTGTTCCCCGTCGCAGCTTCGAGGCGTGGCGCCTTGCTTCCGACGCCGCGCGGGTGGCTCTCGGCCTCGAGCGTTCGCGGCTTCCCGACGGCGCGGACCCGCCGGCTGTCGGCCGCCTCCGGGCCACCGGGGGCGCTCCGCCCTGAGCGCCCGCCACGGTGTCGCCGCCGCGAGGGCACGACGCGAGCCTGCCGCGCAGCCAAGCAGCTCTGCAGCAGGGAACCTTGTACAGAGAACAGAAGATCCGCCCTCATAATAGTCACCCCGATGCGCGAAGTCGTTGAGTAAACGCACCCAGAAGAGGAATCAAAAGGGGGCAGGGCTGTTTAGACAGAGCCCAGAACCGTCTAGCAAACGCCAATTATGGGGTCCGTGCTTTTTCCTCCCTTGATTGTAGTGGGAACGAAACCCCTCTCTTGGGCCTCGTGTGGCG